AGAATTAGAAAGAACATATATATGAAGAATTAATTTATTAATTCATTGGTAAACTACTACATATTTCAATCCAGTTTAAAAAAAAAAAAATAGGAAACAATGTCCTGGGGAAATAACCCTGGAAAAAGTCTATACTAGTATTTGTACAATTAGTCCACAGAAAATGATCTACCACTGCTTAAAATGTGATTAGACCAAAGGGTTTGATTTTCCTCCTGTAAATACATTCAAAAAGAAAACATTGAAATGTGGGCCACAGAAAATGCTTTTCAAGTCATTGTTCTTGATTAGGGTTTTAAGGATCTTGTTATCTCACCACCCACAAGGTGGGGGGTGGGGGAGCGGGAAGGGGGCGGAGGGAGGAAAGTACTACACACATTGCTCTGGATGAAGATAAGAAACAGTAGGAATAATCACTAATAATTCCAATATACTGTGTGAGCAGATGGCCTAAACGATCAAATGTTTTATCAGTCTTACTGTTTCTTACATTGTGAAGGATAAAAAAAATATACATGATAAACTGTGGCTGAGAAAATGAATGCTTCCATCCATCATTCTGGGCTTCTCTTATTCCAACCAAGTGACTGAGTTGATTCAAGTTTATGGCATCTTGGCAGGGAGATTCCCACAGAAGCTAATATCTAGATTGAGTACATGAATAATGTATTTATTCCCCATAAAGCAGAAAATGTTAATTTTAAGAACAAGAGATCTCTACTTCACTCTACTTGAACCAAACCACAATAAAATATTTTAAAAGTCCTAGCAGATCATTCACAAAAAATTCAGAACTTATCTATACTAGCCTTTATATTGCTGCTGAAACTGCATTTGTTCTCAGGTCATTAAGTTTTTAAAAAAATGTGTGAAGATTTTAAATAAAGGAATCTCACTTTAAGAATGCAAGCTAAAAATCAAGTAGAAATCCTTCGTATAAGCCGCAGACTCCTCTCCCCACACGCTGAACAGGCTTGGCACAGCGTCCAGGCATGGCCAGCTCTCTGCTGGGGGCAACGTTCTTGGCTGTGAAGGCAGAGCATGCCCTCTGTCACTCATGGCGAGCAGTCCTGTCCAACTGTCTCTTTTCGACAACTTTATCATCAATCTCTTTATTAACAGCTCCACTGTAGACTGAGAACACAAACAAGGACAGTGCGCATGCCAGATTTCTGGAAGGCACACAGCATCAGACACCACACAGGGCACGGTTTCAGTAACGCCGAAGCAGAAGCTGTACTGCAAAACTCTTACATGTCGTTTTAAGAAGTATCGTATTTATTATGCTTAGTTACAAACAAACTTCTAACTGGGGAGAGGAGGGGGAAAAAAAACCCCAAGTTATTCCTCAAATGTTAAGTACCTCCTCTCTCTGCCTGTTTTATTTTAACATCATTTGAAATGGTCGATCAATGAGGGGTACATGACCTATCATTCCATTCAACTTCCATAATTTTATCTGCTTTAAGTTAGTGTATTACCTGAACCAAAGGCAAACACCACAGAAATAATCTTAAATGAACTGAAAAGTTTGAATTGATGTACAGAGTTTAAGCATGTAAAACATTTATTTAAGTAGCCTTATTTAGAAAATTTACTTCTAAAAATACAAATATAAAATGCATTCATGAAGTAGATGTGCTAGCCGTAGATAAGACAGACAAAAAGACATTTGCACTTGTAAGCTGTCCAGGATCTGTGTGAGCCACAGTTATTATCGGGCAGTTTAAATGCATTGCCTATTTTCTTAAGTTAAATAAGTAAAAGCAGCTTCCCTTACCCAACAACTTGGGAGTTTTTATCACCTTACATCAACAGTAATTTTCCTCTTTATCCTTTCCTATTACTTGCCTGGATTCTGGCTCTTATTTAAACACAGTAATTTACTGCAAAAACCAATCTTGATAATATCTGCATATACCATTAAACAGTTTTTTCCCAACCATTAGTATGCTGTTAAATTTGAGTTTTTCTAAATCCAGTATCTTCAGAGTTTGAGGTAAAAATTTAATAAAGTGCATAGGACACTGTCATTCTTAGTTTATTTTAAACATTCCACGAGAATACAGAGGTCATAAAAAAAAAAAACCTGAGGTCATTATAAAAAAACAGACATGCTGAACTGGAACTGTGACCTGGTTAATTCATTAAGTGTAACAGGAAAGAAAAAGAAAAAGTTACTTAAAGATAGCATTCCAGAATTTAGTCAGAACAACACAAATATACGTTAATTAAACTTTATTAAAAAACTATTAACTTAAATATCCACAAAGCAGATGGGACATCCAGCAGTGCTTCATCGTATTATCTTTTTCATAATAAAACATGCCCTCTGAAGTTTGATGTCAAAGTTTGCATTCTTTTGGTGATGATAGCAGCTAACGTTTGATGTCTGTCAATATTGAAAATTATTAGTTTGAACTCTGTAGGTGTATCAAACTGAATCTGCCTCTGTGAACAAATCCAAGATGGTTTGTATCTATTGAACAGAACCTTAATTCTACTAAAATTATTAAACTAAAAATGGTTTATTACTTATGTTTCTCCAATACGAACACTGGATCTTTAGAAAAGTGAACCCACCAAGTACTCAGCTAATGTATGTGTATACAGACATTTGTGAGTGCACTATCAAGACCTGTACATTTTTAAATGACAAAATTTTAGTAAGCATTGTTCAGCTACAATGATGCTGAAAAAAAATGCACATACTACCTAGAGCAAGGAAGCACAACTTTAGCTACAACTCATCAATTCAAATGTCGGATTCAAATCAGTATGTCTAAAGCCATCTGTTAGAACCATGGCTTATTAATGTTAATTATTTTGGCTACAACAGTAATTTTCAGCTTCTTGTTTGCAGATCCTTATGAGTCCATGAACTTACTTCTGGAGGTTCATGATGGGTAACTCAGAAAAACAAGCCTATTGAAGCCTCCTGTCAGTAGGCTGAGAAACACCGAACAGAAATTTGTGTATCTAGTAGCAGATTTTTACTGGTCGAAGAAAATAAGAGGAATTAAAGCCCTAAATAACACCAGTTGTGATGAAAGATGTGGGGTGGGCAAGATATAAAGATGATGAATCTGTTCTAAACAAGACAAGCAATTGCATGCTGTGAAAAATATATACAACACAAAGGTTTATTGTTTTAGGCAGGGTAATTATAATGTGAAGACTATAATCATCAGTGGTTTTAGCAGTTAAAGAAATTTTAGTCAAAAGGAGGCTACTTATTAAAGTTACTCACATCAAGTATTTGGAGGATTGGGCTCATGCTGATACAAAGATCAATCAAGCGATGCACAGCTACTTGTAATTTTTACTTTTATTTCAGAGCAAGCTTGAGCTATTTAACAAGAAGAGAAATAGTGCCATCTGCTGACAAAACAGTTCCTTGCCAGAAAAGCAAGTGTAAGATGCCAAAACTATTACAGCTGATGTTTTTAAAAAAATGAGTTCAAACTTCTAAAGAAAATCATATAGCCCCAGATTGTTTATGCACACATTTCTTCTATTTTTGTCTGCTTTTAAGAATTTAAGATTTTGAGATGGACTCTGAATCGGGACACAAGGACTGGATGCTCTTAAAAATTTTTCGTTTGTTTTTTGGCAATAAACTCTGCCCCTGCTAAGCCACTGCACAATCCACAACCACATGCACTTATGTACTATTTCTTTTAGGCTACACCATATTTTATCTTAGCAGAAAATTTAAGAGCAAAGTGTGAATTGAGAGTAAAATCAATTTTACACATTCAGAAAAATCAGACATCTATGGGATTGTGCTGTTTTTTTATTGTGTTTTCAATGGAGAAATACATCATCTGTTTACAAAATAGCTCTTGAAAAATACAAGGAGTACAGATACTATAAAACAAAGCAAACTCCAGTCATGAGACACTACGTACATCATGCGAAAGCAACAGTCTGATCTCCAGGTTATGAAAACTAGAATTAAAAAGTCACTATACAGAAAGATTCCAAGTTTCCAGCTTGGCAAAACTTGGGTGCAGTTACATGAAACGTTTAATAAAATGAAAAAGATTTTCTGATGTGTAAACAAAATGACAAGACTAAATTTGTGCCTGGCAATTTCGATCTAAACTCCATAGCTACACAAAATACACAGACACCTTGTACACTTCAACTGTTAATATAACCTTCTTTGGGGGGTGGACAACAGCAGGCTGCACAGGGCAAGGAAAAGAGAAATATTGTATACTAGACATCTTAGACAAATGGCAAAAAAACCCCTTCAGTTACTGCACAGCCTAAGTAAAAGATAAGCTACACTCTGACTTTGGAGAATTAATTTAGAAGGATAAGGGGAAGAGTGTAAGTAATTTAATTTTAACATGAAAGATGCACGTGTAATAGGATGGGGGACAATGGGAGAAGGGAGTTCATGCTACTCAAAGTATGGGAAGTATGATTTGACATCCCACATATTTCAGACTTAAGTAACAGTAACATGAAGTTCTTTATCTACATCTGGTATTATTGTTGATATCCTTCATGTTCCTCAAATACTGCTGTTCTTTGCCACGAGAGATTCAGTTCTTTCAAAAGAAGAAGAAGTTACTTTTTTGATAGGACTACAAGAACAAAAAATAGGAGTAAGAGAGCTTACTAGATGTCAAGTGCTTACTAGAAATATGATTCTTAAAAATTCAGTGTTTTTCACTATGTAAAACTATTTCTGATGAGACATCTAAAAACAAAAAGGTTAAAATTCTTAGGGAAAATTTTTTTGCCTTTATTTAAAATTTGAAGCTTTTTAATGCACATAGGACTTTTACGGAGTGTACAAAAATCATCTTATATTTAGTGATTCAAAGGCCATCAAGACAGGTGTTGTATTTCACAGGCACACAATATTTACTTAAACACTTTAGTCATGGGACAAAATTTTGAATTTGTGCCTACAGGCCACAAGATATATGACTAGGTAAGGGGTGGGGAGGAACCCAAATGAGTACATCTCTTGTTTTTATTGTCCTAGATGGTGCATACAAGCTGCAAAATAACCCCCCAACATTAAACGCAAAAGCTTTTCCCAAGAAATAAAGGGATCAAAAAGGGAATAAGGAGTTTGATTAGCTCAAAGTAAAGTTTATTTGATGTTTGACTGTTGATCTGTATGCACCTTAAAACAATCCTATAAATAAAAGTAGACCACATCTTAATCGTGTCCCATCAATACCAAAATTTCCCAATTACTTCCTCAACTAATGTCTTATAACCTCACTATTTGACTTTTAAAGGCTTACTGCTGCTTGATGGCAGTTGAACTAGATATACTATACATTTTGTTTTCAATGTATAGTATATCATAGAATGACATCCAATTTGCAGATTACTACTACCGAAGAGATTCTTCAATAAGATCTAAAATTAGTCATAGTCCAATAAAAAAAAAAAAAGTACATAAAAGTGCATTAAAGGGATTCTTATGCCAGTTTTATCTCAATTTTGAAACAATGCATCAAACAAATTCAATCAGAATGTCAAATATGGCTACAAATAGTGTTCATGTTTTTAAAGGCAGTAATCCTTTGAAATATTTAATGCAACTGTTGCTAACACATTAATTGTACTCCTGGCTTCACATACTAACCTGGACTTCCAATCAAGTGGTGATTTTAGCCCAGAAAGGGAAGTGCACAAAATATACCTAAATCCATTTGCGATTATGTTCTAGTCTTGCACCCTCCATTCTCCTTTTTTTCTAGCATTAGAAGACAACAGGTTGAGTTGGCAGATACTGTTTATGGACCCCTGAGGTTGTTTTTACCGGTTCAATCTCAATTTTATTGAATTCTTGATAACAGGAATAGGATTTGCAGGGAGAGCAGGGATATCTGAAAGGTCTGTACTGGGCGTTTTCTGAAAAGAAAAGAAGGAGTTAGGTTGTATTTTAACTCTGTAAATATCAAAAGAAAAATATTGTAGTAATTGGCACTAACTTTCAAAAACAGTATCTTCAGAAGAGTTTTTAGGAATATATCAAGACAAGGATAATTACAAGTTACAAAATTAGAAGCAGGTATTTCCCTTGACTACACAGTCATTAAGGAAAATCTGTACAAGATTCTCTTTCATAGTGTGCATTTCCTTTTTTGACAACTGCAAGAAATTAGGGAGTGCTGCAGATAAAGCTGAGCCTACTAATAACCTGCATTATAATAAAACAATATCCACATAATAGGGGTGCTTGATTGGTGACACCTACTAACTGACCTATATTTTTAGTATTTATAAATTCCATTGAACAATTCAGTGTTAAACCTCAGTCCCTCACATATGAACAGTGAAGAACTGTCCCCAGTGCAAAGTTATGTCTTCATACATTCACATTTCAGACTGTTTAAAAGCTCTTTACAGCCAAATTTCCAACTTTTCATATTGGTGTAGACTTACATGGAAAAGATATTACGAACTCTAATAAAACAATGCTATAGGAATGGGTTAAGAATTTCAACTTGAAAATAATCTGACCACTTTTTTCTCACTTCAAAGACTTAAATACCGTTCAGCAAATTTATATTTAAAGCCAAATAAAGGAAAACACAGAAAAGGAACACTCTCCAGATTCCGTGTGATTCATTAACTTCACACATGCTTGTGCCTCTGTTTTTGTTGGGGTTTTTTTGTTTTTGTTTAATTTTGAAGTATTTATTTTCCACTGCAGCAGATTTTTTGCCATCCCAACAACCCAGTTATCATGCATTACTTCCTATCATTTATCATAAAATTATTTTTTTAATGTTATAACGTTCAATATTAATACAAGGTACATCTGATACATGGGAAATACTGCATTAAAACAATTGGTTTTAATTGTTGTTTTATTAAAAACAAATCGATCAAGTTAATAGTGACTGATATGGTAGCAAAGCACAATGCAACAAGGACTCACGGCAAAATAGCTTTGACCTCCTGCCTCCCTCCCTGCCCCCATAGCCCACTCTGATTTGTGCACAGTATAACATTTCTATTATCTTCATCATAAGCAGTGTTTTAAACAAAATTAACAAGAATTCTGAAAACTGACAGAAGAGGCCCACCATTCTTTTGCAGTTTCCAGATTACTTGTGCTAAAGCAACAACTACACAATCTGTGAAAGCTACAAAACTTTATATAATCATCCCTCAACAGGTGAAATAAACTTGGTAAAGTAAATGATCTAAAAATTTCCCTGAATCCCTTTAGAGTGCCCATGTAACATCCAGAGTTTTTGCCAATTTTGGTACCCTTATTCAGTACTGTTCATCTGGTTCAAAAAGTCTGATAACAAACACCATTAACACTACTGCAATATATCCCCACTGTCTATCAATACATTTACTACACATCATTTAATGATTAAAATGTGCATAAAATGCTTTGTAATAGTGAATCTTTAATCAGTAGATTAATAAGAGAATCTTAAAAATGTGATTAAAGACAAAGATGTGTTCTCTAAAAGTTGTTACAATATAAGGAACAAAAATTTAAGGGAATGCCACAGATTTCTTTACTTAATGTCTATTTTTCCAATACTCCTTATACCTGCAACACCTGCCGTGAAGAGACACAGCTAGCTAATAAAATTATAAGATTACAACTTCTCTCCTCCTCTTTATCATACCAAATTATCAGAATCTGAAGTTACATTTCAGACATTTCAACCTCTACGAGGATATCTTTGAGCAACAGCTATTTAAGGCGTTTGTTTCCTTGTTAGAAAGGATTACTCTGTGATGTGCAAGGCACAAAGGAATAAACTGAGCCCCTTACTTTGAAGGTACAATTCAGAAGAGCGAATCCAGCTTCGGTCAGTTTGTATGGCAAGCCATACATGTTTAGCTACAATGCACATTCAATAAGATCAATGACCATCTAAAACACAAAAATTGTGACAGTAACAACAAGCAGCTTTCTGTACAATGGATTTATATTAAAAATTATACATTTATTTTTAACATCTGGACTCATTTTCATTTCAATGTTTTCACCACAAATTAGCACACACAGAGAGGTGTTGTTTTTAAAAACAGTACCTGAGGAGCCTGCAGAGAAGTTGTCTGAAGAGTTTCTGTTTGAGAATTAACATTCACTTCTGTCTCAAGTTGCTCCTAAAAAACCAAAAGCATCATCACAGTTACAATGCTTCCAATTATAAGAGCTATTTATACAGAACTCCACTAACCAGAACGCTTCAAGTTGTGCATATACAAAGTATCAGTGCTTGCTGCATTGATACCCATCCTTTTATAATTCAGAAATCACCACACTAGAGAATGTTTTGCTGATTAGGAATTTGACACCAACACAAGCTACATCACTTCTCAGTTGTCACTTTTTTAACCACTTAATGCCTTTTATACAGAATCCTAGAGGAAAAATTACACGATATTCAACTCACTAAAGACAAAAAGTGTAGTGTCAAGGAAGACCATGCACAAAGCTACTGAATTTGCTGCAAAATCAATTGTTTTTCCACTCCTTTTGCAATTTTGCCAGAAAGGTTTTCCAGTTACTTTTATAGCTTGAATCAAATTTCCTGGATTAACAGATGAATGTCAGAGCCAGCTTTTCAAGTAAAACAGTGGGACTGCATGGCTAAAACTGGACAATGGTACATTCTTATTTTAATGAAAACAGCCTGTTAGTTAAAATTGTACCATTTGGTAAACCATACCCTAACAAAATGGCATGCATTTCAATGGAGAAAAAAATCTCTGTCTATGTTCAAGAAGTTCATTCCTTCATTTTCTTCCATGCATATTAAGGACATAAGATTTAGAGGAGACTGACAATAAAAGCTAACAGGATTACCTATGTCTTTTATAATGATCTGTATCTAGAGGATCTAATTTCAATGTTAGGATTAAATGCCTACATGCATTTCTGCCTTCGCCCGTCTTGAGTTCAAAGAGATTTCAAGGTGACTACATAACAAGATACAATTCCTCACTTAAGGGTGTGGAAACTATAAACCAAAGCACTTAAACAATTTAATAGAGATCTTATTTTTTTTTTAGTATATTTTCCAGAGTATTCCAAAGACAACAGAACATTCCCTATAAAAAAGGTATACGCCCAAGTGGAGAGCTGCTATCATAAAACTAAAGACAGAAGGTCACCCTTTCTGTTCATCAATAGGCAGAAAAAATTGTCTGCTAAATTACAGGATCCTGGAGGGGCATGCTTGAATGCGGTGCTTAGGGACACAGTTTAGAGGTGGACTGGGCAGTGTTAGGTTTATAGCTAGACTTGATGATCTTAAATGTTTTTTCCAACCAAAATGATTCTATGAATCTCTGGAAGACCCCAAAAGGTATACTGTAACTTCATACAATAATTTCACTATCAGAAAAGATTTATTTACCATCATGGGAATTTTTTTTTTTTTTTTTAATAATCTAAAAAGTGAACAAGGCAGCACCTGGTGTTGCCCAGCCCAACACACAAAATTCCCAAAAGAGTACCTAAACCAACTGTTCTTCCACAAAGTATATACTGAGTTTGAGTCACAGGCAAAGCAAGGCACATAGACACATCCCTGATCTAACAAATTTATATTTAAGTTTCATCATGAATTTTTTTCACTATGCATAATACTGCATGAATGACCAAAGGAATTGCTGTCCTACGTGACCATGGACCCAAGCTCAGTTTCGCCTGGCAGTGGGTAACGTACTGCAATTCATTAATATCGACATACACATTGAAAAAATAATGTATCATTTTGATATCTTTACTGGAGAGTCAAACACTCTTAGTCATTCCTAGAAGGAAACACAGTAATTTTCAAGATTAATATACACAAAATTATATGGTCTGGACATAGATACCTTAGTTTCCATTTTTTC